ACCATCAAAATTAAGTCACTGAATAGGTTTTCAGAAATAATCTACCTATAATGATACATGAAGCATTTATGGGTGAATTGTTGAATCATTCATTCATTCATTCATTCATTTTCTTTTCGGCTCAGTCCCTTTATTAATTTGGGGTCGCCACAGAGGAATGAACCGCCAACTTATCCAGCATATGCCCTTCCAGCCGCAAAATTGGGAAAAATTGTTGAATCATTAATTGAAAATTAATAAGATATGTTGAACAAAATGTTAGATTTCTATATTCAGCATTATCAGCAACAGTAGCAAAGTGTATTTTTCGTATTGAATATTTTCCTTTTTTTAACTGGTTCTTTCTTGATTTGTATTTGTATTAAAATGACAGGTTCTAAGTTCTGTTTGTTGAAACCAATGGTTTTGCAGTAAAATTTTTGTAGAAAGGGGAAAGCAAATGACATTTGTGATACGAACAATGGTTCGATCCATGACTCAAAAACCACCGTGTGATCCAAACTGTGAAAATGAAAAATTCATGAAAATTGACATGAAATTCTCATTTCTGAAAGAATTTTATTTTAAAAATGTAAAAGACCTGTTTTGTATGTTTATGCAAGATAAAATGTTTTTATTTTTTTCCCAATTATTTAAATTTGACTGACCTACATCTGAGGTATAAATGTTTGGAAATGAACTACTCAGGTTGTTTTGTAATGGTATGTGACACTAAGAGCACTTTACATGTCAGTCATTGTCTTACCGCCATAGCAATGGCCATGCCAGACTCTGTGACTGTATCCATAGGCGACGAGATCAGTGGGGTTTTCATTGTGATTTGTTTGGTCAGGGCTGATGTCAGGTCCTACGAATGAAAGCATTAACAAAGCATTAATCAAACTGTTACTCACTAGTTGCTGCTTTTTTAAACAAGTCATTATTAAATAACTCACTAAACTCAAGAATTCAGAATGGTTTAAAACTGATTATCAAACTGTATTGTAAATACTTCAACGCGTATGTAAAGCAAATCAGAGTACTGTTCATTTTTATGCGAGTAGCTGATGATTTTTTCAGTCTCTCAGAGCAGCTCAGTTTGTAACAAATGATAGCAACACAAATGTATTTCTGCACCTGCTGTAAGTTCTAGTCTCTTATAAGATTTAAAAAAGGCAAAAATGTTTCCATGTCCAAGAATCATTTTGATTGATTGCATATTTTCTCAAGGTAAACTGTTTTTCCATCCAATGATTTTACTTACCACCTGGTCAGCTGTGAAGTCAATGTACCCAGGTAGAATCAGGAAATCACTGAAAGAAAAAATAAATGTGTGAAAACATGAGTTATTCATCATTTAAACTGGCTGCAAGCTATTTCAAAGCACATGCATATCACTACTAGAGGGATTTATAACTCAAAAGTTGTCATAAGTGGGAATTCACACTTGTCACTTTGACAACTCTGGATTTGACACCAGTTCTGCTCAATCAGAAACCTCTGGAAGAGGCTCTCTGCCAATAGCATGAATTTGGGGGCGGGACCAACTGTTTGACAGACCAATGGCAGAGATTTTGGGAAATGTCATTAATTACTCATTAACTTTACGATCACATTACCTTTACAAAATGCAAGTTTATGTCTGCAAATTTCAGCTATCGCTATTCCACATTGTTTCATTGAGCTGCTAATTTGAAAAAAGACTTACTGACAGCTCTCTTATCTCGTACATTGACACACACACAAACACCACTCTGAAGATGTTCCAGAGACTCTCTTATCTTGTCAAATATTACGCGGTTCACAAGTGCGTCAAACAGCGCCTTGTTTTAGTGATAAACCCGGCCCGAGTACATCTATAACCTTGTGTTCAATATAAACAGAGTCTCTTCGCCTACAGCTCTTCTAGTGGGACCGGTAAACAGAAAGACGCTTCTGGAAAAGCGTGCACCTGCCGCGGATAGACTTCCACTCGCTTTACATACATGTAGAAAACAAAAACAAAATACTCCACAAAGCTCAGACTATTTATAGCACATTTAGTAGGCCGGGGTTGCGGGAGACAGAGATTAGTCCTGGTCCAAGAGAAGCGAGAGGGGCTGTCAGTGGTACAAGAATAGACTGTGGCGACCCTTCTTGTCTTAACTTGGCATAAAGGCATGGCAGCAGATGATGTCACTGCTGCTGAGTCAATACAAGATGTCCTTCCGACCCGACTTAACCTTGGTCAATTCGTATGGCAAAGTTGGCACTACGTTGAATTAATTAGTGAAACCGAAATGCGTAATGGATGAAAGACATTGTGCGGTCACCCATATAGTAACCATGCTGGACGCCAAACCAGATAAATGCGGAACAACAACGACACCTACATGCAGTTCGGTACATATTAGTTCAGTTCGGCAACATCTGCAGTGCTGACCGGCATTATAAACAGAATAAATTAGTATTATTGCACAAGAAGATGTCAAGGTTCTTTACTTGTAGGTAAGGCCGTCTCCAGAGTTGAAAAGCTGCTGTCCTGTTAGTCCGTCGTCGGGCACGTAACCTGTTTGACCGCTGATTAAATAGTCCGCCATAGTGAATATAAAGTCCAAATTGTCACTGAATCAGTGTTTTCAGGACAGTGTGTGCGCACAGCCCGGTAAGCGCTGTTCTCCGAGCTTCAGTCTTCACTGCGCTTAATGACAGTAAACACCGCAAAAACGGTCAAGTTTCTGTTTAGAGTCAGGTGTTTATCTGGTTTGAGTCAAATAATCCCTGGTGCGCTCTTGTTTTCGGGACCGATACTAGTCCGTGATGTCCACAAGCACCACACGTGTGTGTCTAATGAACCGTCTGCTCTTCCGCAGATATAAATAAGGTGTCCTCCAACGTCACTTCCGGGCTGTGGATGAGGCGGTACTTATTCTTCTAAAAGTTTATTTTAATATCTCTGTATATTCGAGGCTGAGGGTCATTATCTTTTCACCCGGGGGCTGCAGATGTCGGGTGGGCTGGTTGTATTCTCTGCAGCGAGCGTGCTCTCGTTATCTCGCGCGCACATGTGTGCGGCACGTGGGGAATTTCTCCGATTTAATTTTATCTCGCGCGCTCTGCTGTTTACTTTATTTGGCTTGTAGGAACTGACCATAGACTGACCTGTATATGCAGGCTCGGGAGCGCGCGCGCAGAGTTTTAAAAGTAAAAGTATGTTTTCAGAGTTCTTAAGGCTCCTATAAATGAAACCAAATAATAATAATAATTCAACACCATTTGAGTATATCTATTGTCTATTTCAGGTCAGAATAGTTACGTTATAACATAAATACAAAAAACATACATGATTGCAAGTATACTTATGAAATTCATTTTCAAAATCACAAACATTACCATTGTAGCATTTTTACTTTATTATAGAGGGTTTTGTTGTATAGATTGCATATTGTTTATATAAAAAAACATCTTCATCTTCCTAATCACTTATATTGCCCACATCTGAGATATTTCCATCTGTTAAATGCTCAAGAACTTCAAGATCTGTATATTCTACATATGAAATTGTTACAGTGATGAATTAGTAGATCAGTATAGTCTTTTTATATAAAAAGTTCAATCAGCGTTACTGGATATTTAATTTCAGTAACAGATCTGGAACCCATTGTCCATGCTTATGGACAGACATATTAAAAAAAAATCCTGCAGTGTTATAAGCGATTTAAACTTTAATTAGTAAGTGCCATCCCTATTTATTTACATACATTCTATGAAATATTGGCAAACATATCAATAAATATAAATAAAAACATTGTAAATGTGGCTTATGTCTGTGTCTGTGAAGTGACACCATGCTGCTTTTCAGTGTAGTGGAATTTTTTTCTAATTACAACATGCCAAGTCTTGCTGACATTTGATCGTCCACTCTCATGGACTGCAGATTTTAAATTAGATTAAATGCTCAGGAACCACAAAAAAAAAAAAAAAGCATGTGCTGACATGTGATGTCTATTGTAATGGACACAGGGTCCGAAGGGGCTAAGATAATAAAGGTAAGCATTAAGAAAGTCTATAGCAGTTTTCACTGTTTACTGTAAACACACTTCTTGATTTTTAATTGCATTAGTATTTTTTACTATTACTATTTTGTAGCCTAGTCTTCTATAAATGTAATGAATGCATCTAATCTGTGTGTGTGTGTGTGTGTGTGTGTGTGTGTGTGTGTGTGTGTGTGTGTGTGTGTGTGTGTGTGTGTGTGTGAGAAATAAATGCCGGAAAATATTTAAGCAAACACCCAAAGGAAACATTGTCAAACCCCCCCACACCAAAAAAAAAAAAAAAACAAGTAAACACAGTATACTGTTTATTTATCTCAATAAATACGAAATGGGCTATTAAGTTTTTCCCCTTCAAGTGAGTTAATGCTTTTACTCAGCAAGGTTTAAAAAAATGTCAGAAAATTATGTATATAATAATGTTTGCACATCAAATTAATTCAGAAAAAAAACATATTTTAATGCTTACCAAACTTTATTTAGCAGCACAACCATTTCTACCAATATTAAGAATTTATTTTAAAAATCGTTCCATTATATAAAAAAAAAACGTTCAGCTATAAAATAAGCTTAAATATTAATTATTATTATAAGTTAAGAATATTACTATGATTAAATTACAATTTATACTATAAATAAATTGTGCTAAATTAATAATATTCCAACATTTCATGCAGTTTTTAATGTTTGTTCATCAAAAAAATGCTGCCTCAGGCATTCCACAATGCAGCGGCACATCCACTTATATACAAGACTTTATTATAAAATAATAATAAAGCAACAAGCTCATGATGATGTTAAACTAATATTATTCCACATTATTTCATAAGAACATTACGTTTTTACTTGTATTAATTTAATAGATGCAGGTTTGATGACCCAAACCCAAAAAATCTCTTCAAAAACAAAACAAAATGACAGTCCCAAAGATCTGAACTGTAGTGTAGTGCAAATGTATAATGTGCACACAAAGAACCACAAGAGCCACTGTCTGGTTTAAAAACTTTCTCTCAGTAACTCTATTTTTGTATTAATGTACAACCGTTGAAAATTACAGCATCATTTGTTTTTCTTTTTTTTTTCAGTTTTCTATTTTTTTAAATGATCTAAACTATATCAACAGCCTTTCCAAGAAAAAAAAACATGAGAAGAAAGCAAGGGAGAGAAGAAAAGGAGTCAGAAGTTATGGCAGGAGCAGTGCTGGAGGAAAACAAGAGTTAGACTGTTTCGGTGGAGTGTTTTGAGTGTCGTGTGTGTATGCATGTGTATAATGTCAGCTGGGGATGTGAGAACGCCATGTTTGTGTATGCGAGCGCTAGGATACAATCGTGCTATTCTCAAACCCTGCAGCAGAGAAAAGATTACAGAGCAAAACCGAAAAAAAAATGGGGGGACGCTGAGAAAGAAATGAATAAACAGAAAGGTTCTGAAAAAAGATGCTATAAATGAGAGAGACAAAGAGATGGACAGAACATTCTGAGATGCAATGTAGAGTATTGAAAAAAAAAAAGAAGAGGGGATCTTTGGAGAGAAGGGGGCAAGAAAGTTGAGAGAAGAGCGAACTCTATGTGGATTCAGTGGACGGATGTTCAGGTGTCGTGGAAATCCTTCAGCAGCGTCCGTCTCTTCTGCTCAGCGATGTGCATCTGATTCTCCAGATCCTACAGAGAGCGAGAGAAGAAATTAACTTGCGTGTTTTTATTGTTAATATTTTAGTGTTTCTGTTCATGGCTTCAGTCTCTCACCCCTCTATCATTAGCGCTCGGCTCTCCTCTCTCATAAGTGTCTGCTCTCTCCACTTTCCATGACAGGTTCTCGATCTCTGCCTCCAGCTGCGCCTGCTGATACTCAAACTACAAGAAATAAAAACAATCAGATAGTCTATTAACAAACATTTAAATACAAGACATCTTTAAACCTTCAAGGAAAAACATTACCATAGATAGATTACCCAAACTATATACAGTTGAAGTCAAAATGATTAGCTCTCTCTGAGTTTTTTCTTCTTTTTTTTAAATATTTCTCAAATGATGTTTAACAGAGCAAAGACATTTTTACAGTATTTTCCTATTATATTTTTACTTCTAGATAAAGTCTTATTTGTTTTATTTCAGCTAGAGTCAAGTAGTTTTTAATTTCTTAAAAAAACATTTTAAGGTCAACATTATTAGTTTTCGATTACCTACAGAAAAAACCATGCATACAATGACTTGCCCAATTCCTTAACTTGCATAATTAACCTAGTTAAGCCTTTAAATGTCACTTTAAACTAAATACTTGTATCTTGAAAAATATCAAGTGAAATATTATTTACTGTCATAGTTGCAAAGATAAAAGAAATCACTTATTAGAAATTAGTTGTTTAAACTATTGTTTAGAATCGTTTTGAAAAAATCTTTCTGTTAAACAGAAATTAGAGGCAAAAAAATTATCAGGGGCTATATATTCAATTGAAACCAGAAGTTTACATACACTCTAAAAAACCGAACATAACCATTTAAAAAAAATGTCTGATAGCAAATCATAGTAAACGTTTACTATTTTAGGTCCGTTAGGATTACCTAAATGTTTTACATTTTCTAAATTCCAGATTAATGAGAGTTTTTTTTTTTGAGAATTTTTTTTATTAATTTCTAAACAGTCAAAAGTTACATACATTTCCTTGGTATTTTTTAGCTTTGCTTTCAAACTGTATAAATTTGGTCAAATGTTTTGGGTATTTTTCCACAAGCTTCTCGCAATAGTTTGAAGAAATTTTGCTCCGTTCCTCCTGACAGAATTGGTGTAACTGGGTCAGATTTGTTGGCTATTTTGCTCGCACAAGCTTTTTCAACTCTACCCACAAATTTTCTATAGGATTAAGATCAGGACTTTGTGATGGCCACTCCAAAACAATCACTTTGTTGTGCTTTAAGCACATTTTAACTAATTTGGCGGTATGCTTAGGAAGACTCATTTGTGGCTAAGGCTGCGTCTGAAACGGCCTACTACTCAGTAGGTACTGCATTTGAATTTAAACGTACTACTCGTTCATTAGAAAAGTACGTTCTATACAACATGAATGCGAAAATTCGAATGGAATGGAATTCGGACGTAATACATCCACCATTTTGTCATGGTCACGTGACCTATCTGTGTCAGTTGCGTTGCTTCACTCTCATTCACTAAATCTCTCACGGGGCATCATGGGATAGCACAGCTAGCGTGAGATGCGCACATCAGAATCTCGCCGGAAGTAGTAAGTCATCCGGGTACTTCTTGCATACTAATTGTCGAATTTTATGAATCCGGACATCTTACTCGGCTCACAAACTGATTTTAGCATACTATATAGTATGGAAGTATGCAGTTTCGGACGCAGCCTAAGTTAAAAAAATTTTTTTAAAGAAAAAGTTAAGTCACATTGACATCTGACTTTTTTTTTTTTTAAATGGTTATGTGCCTTTTTATAGAGTGTATGTAAACTTCTGGTTTTAAATGTATGTCAAATTCTTTTGAACACCTTGATTATTTAGATCAGCAGTGTTTGTTACGGTTGGAGCAAAACAGAGCTGCGGCCATCCAGGAATTGACTGTGACACCTATGAGCTATTCTTTAATATTCTACAGAAGAAAAACGTGACCTAAATAAACAGCAATGTTTATGCATACGATCCCTTTAAAGCAGTTCCTTACCAGTTTTTTGCGGGGTCCAGATTCCATGTAGTAGGCGTAGGGATAGGTGTACTGCAGTGTATAACGACACTGTGGAGAGACCAAATACACAGAGTGAGTTTATGGAAACACAACTGCTAAACAGGGCTAGAAAATAAAACCAAAATCACAATATGAGGAAGTGGACATGTTAAATTGCGAAAGCATTAATCTGTTCCTTTACATATGAATCACTCATAGAAATTGCAGCTTGACACAAACTCATCTCTTTATCATTTTGGGCCACTTGACAACATGAAACATTCACTAATAATCTCCTCAAACTTGTAATGTTGTCAGCAAAAGAACAGCTTTATGGGCTGTCTATGGTTTAATAAACTTTGATTGGGTATTAAAGTTGGCATGAAACAGAAGTTGTAATTTCTGAGAAAAGGTAAGGCGGATTTTGATTTTAGAAAGTGGGAATGAATGGATTGCCGTGATCCTGGGGTTTGAGTGACAGGTTTTCCTGCTCTTGTGCCGGTAAACATGTCATCAGACAAAAGATTTACAACAGAGAGAGCAAGTTGATTAAATATTATGAGGGTACAGGAATACCAACATTATGTGCACTGACAGTTTAAAATAAAACTGGAACACTAAATAAAAAAAATTTATTGCGACTTTACAATAGTTTATCAAAATTTTTTTATTAAACATATTTGTATTCAACAGTAAAATACTGGTTATACTGTTCTTTACATAAGATTATTATTATTTTCTAATTATACAGACATTTAATAAATCCCCAAATCATGCAGCCCTAATAAGTAAAACAGCTGGATTCAGCCTGTACCTTGGCCAGTAGCTTGGCAGCGTTCTGCAGGTACTGCCAGTCTATCCAGGTGCCCAGATTATTCATGACTCGCTCCTGAATCTTCTCTTGGATCCGCTGGTAGGTCTGTGCCTCTAGCTGCAAGCTTTTATTGTGGTTCTCCCACTGAAGACAGACAGGCAACATGAGGATTAATGCTTACAGATCAATATTTAAAGCAAATCACACATTAAAAAAATCTATAGTGATTTAAAGTAAATACTACTGTAGTGTTTTAAAGCATACTACCATAAAGTACTGTACTTGAATTATTCTTTTGTGGTATTTCTGGTAGTTGCTGCAGTAATAACAGTAATATAGACCACCAAATTGGCTCTATCACGGTCTCTCCACTCCACCTATAGCTGGTGTGTGGTGAGTGCACTGGCACCGTTGTCCTGTGGCTGGCGTCGCATAATTTAAAGGGTCACAAAACACCAAAACACATTTTTTGAGCTGTTGACCGTCATATATGTGTCCCACACTGCTATAAACACTATTAGGACACATATATTTCACTAAAAAGTGAAAATTGGTTGTTTTTGTCCTATTTCGAGCAAATTCGTACTTCTGGTTTAAAACGAATTTTTGCAGCTGCGTCACGGCCATGAGATCTTAGCGTGTATTCCGGCGTGTAGACTGGAGGTCTGTACCTGGGAGTACCGTATTACGTTTCTGAGTGTGTTGCATTGATTCATGAGTATGGCTTAGTTCAAACCAATCAGCGCGCTCTTTTGTGTATGCGCTGCAACTTCATTAATATGCATGCTAGCTTCGAAGACTGTAGCTGAAACAGTGTTCGGATGGCAGAGAGACGACACGCTGTTTTGCCAAAAGAAGTGGGAAAAGAACAAGAATTGTTTGGATTTACAGGTCCTCAGTGTTGTTTTAATAATGTGCTGCAATGAAGGTTTTGTTTTCATTTTTTCTCTACGAGAGCGATGCTGGACGCACGTGTGGATTACAGTGCACGCGCCGCGCGAGAGTTATACGTTTTTTATTTGAGAGGTTTTCTCATCTGGAAATGGTGAAATCCGGATTTGCTGCTCGTCTCCTTTAAAAAAAGACGCAGCTCCAGTATGTGTTGATTGTCCTGTCTACAGATTTGTTAAGTGCGTGCGATCAGCGCCCATTCTTGGTTCATTCAGATGGCCAAGTTATAGTTCGTATCGTCAGCAGTATTCTTTCAGTGTTTAAAGACAGACCTTAGTCAAAATGATTTCTAAGTTACTTAGTTTACGTTAACATCACTACAATATTATGGACTGAAAGATCCGCTTTAAATGCTGCTCTTTGAGTGCAAACATGTGAACACTGCAAGCAAACTATTGCCGACCGACGTGTTTAATTTTTGCCGCATTTTGTGACAGGATAGTCTACACACACACGGCTTTCTGACCTACCGAGTGCATCGGAATTATTGAGAAATGCAGAGATTTTTTTCTCTTATACGACATGCGGTATCAAACATTCCACTGTCATTAAACACACTGTCTTTCTCCCCTGCATCTGTGTTTGTTTTTCCTCTGTGAAAACCAGCACGTGCCCAAATAGGAACTCCTATTTTTATTCAAATCCTTCCCCTTTTCCCTCCCCCGTCACTCCCACCCAAACAGAGCTAGACACACCCACTTTCCTGATTTTTTCCAAACTAGAGGTGTGAAAACACCCTGCTGAAACGGGGGGTTTCATGGCCCTTTAAGTGAATGCTGCATACTGGTGGGGGTGTGGAGAGACCCCCCTCATGATTGTGAAGTGCTTTGGGTGTATGGCCATACACAATAAATACGCTATATAGATACACATTACTTACTAACTAATCAAATTACACTGCACTAAGTTTTCTACAAATAGGTAAATTATGCTACTACAGTATATTACAGTATTTATTACAGTATGTAATATTGCAGTAATGTAGTTTTACAGTTTTAGTATGCTACACCATTCATTAACATTATGCTATAAATAACATATGCATTATAATAGACTTTTTTATAGTATGGTTCAAAAACATTTGCATTTTCTACAAATATACTACTACAGTTATTTTTCAAATTATAATAGTTATATTACTATATTTTCTAATGTGGGTTAACTTTAAATACATTTGAATGAATAGGATAACTGCAACATATAAATACATAAGAGAATACAAAAATCTTACAAAATCTAGGACTAACAATTCACTGCAACAGAATTTGTGGTTAGCATCTTGCTAAGCTAACAGCATGCTACTTTATATTTTTACATATTGGTCAAATCAGATTCAGAATAGTGACTTTTTACTGATACATTTTTTTGTAATGATTGTACTATCATGTTACTCCCTACTTTAAAAAAATACCCCAAAACTGTCAAGATAGATACTGAAGAGTTTGTTAGGTTGTGAAACAAAGCTAATCAGTGTGTTCCATGTCTGTCAACAGTGTGTTGCGAGAGCTTCCTTTATTATTGACTGATCATTTCTCACCCTCTCAAAGTAGAACAAGTATTTTTTGAGGGCCTCTCTGGCCTGGGCCTGCTGACTCTGATTAACGATGTCTGGGTTCTCTTTGTAGCGACTGCACTCGTAGTACTCACTGCCGTGAGTCTTCCAGTCGCCCAGACACATCCAGCAGAAATCTACACGCACACAGAACAACTACATTACCATCAACCCAACTTTATCACTCAATATCAATTCTAAAAAAAATAATAATACCAATAATAATAAAAATGCAAAACAACCTACCATGTTTACACTTTGAGCATTGCTGCAAAAAGAGATTGAAAATAGCTTTAGTAAAAAACATGACTAATTTTTAGTCTAATAATTTACTACTGCAAAAATTTGATGCGTTAAATCGAAAACACCTTTACAATGTTACCAAAAAAAATTGTGTGCACTATAAAGTGTGCAGGTAATGAAAAAGCATATAGTACTCACCATGTGGTTGCAGCCTCCGTTCTTCTCAATGCAGATATTGCACTTAGGGCACTGTGGACATAAATCAAAACACAATCATAAAAGGATGTCACTAATATCCTTAATATCTAACTCTAAATAACCCTCAGTATATACTTAATGTTGCCATCTCACAGTGTGTTCACACTGGGGAGGTTTGGTTTGATTAAATTGAACTCTTACTAATCTGGTTCATATGAATTAATGTAAACCTTGCCGTCCAAACCAGACCAAAATCAGTGAAAATATGGTTCTCGTTTCTGCTACAAAATAACTCTAAAGTTAATTAACAAAATATTTATTTTGGTTCAAAGTAAATATAATTAAAGACAAGTAGATGAGCCAAAAACTGGGCAGTTCAGACTTTTAATGACAACAGTATAAACACGAAGCAAACCAGAACGAAACAAATTATTTTTTGGTCTGAACCAAACCAACCTATGAAAGCAAGCCAAATGTGAACAGACCCTTAAAGGTATAGTGCACCCAAAAATAAAAAAATCTTCATTTATTTGTGGTCATCCTCCACTTGTTTCAAATGTCATTTGCTGCGTCCCAAATCGCATACTAATACTATGTTTGAAAAGTATGTAGATTTTTTGTGATATTAGCGTTTAGAGTATGAACGAATCTACACTTTCTACCAATCTACTTTCCACAATCTATTTTTCTACAAATTTTACTAATGTCTAATGGAAATAGCATAGCATTCAGAAACCTTTAGCATACACTTTTCAACATACTATGGTTTGGGGACACTAATTATATTTTCCAGTACTATTTAGGATGGATAGTGTGCGAATTGGGATGCAATTTTTTTATGTCGGAAATCGGTAACCATTGACTTCCATAGCAGTTTATTCCCATAATAGATGTCATGTTGAGTGAATTCTACATTTAAAATATATTTGTGTGTTTTTCCTTACATCTTTAGTGTGTGCACTGATGTAGTTGGCCGTCTCGGAGTCATCTGCACATTTCGTCAGCCATTTGCGGATGGTAGCACAGTCTGTGGGAGCGTGATACATCTGTCTGCACTTAAAACTGAAGACACACAAGGCCTTTGGTCAATATAAACACATGCACGAGTATTACAGCAGGAGTGTGCGAGTTTAATTGTGTGTTTTACCAGAAGACTTCTTCGCAGCGACTGCACTGGACTCGGCGAGCTCGAGGTTCCTGAACTTGTATAACTATCGGACAGTCGGCGCCAGGACATAACTGCAGCTGGAAATGACTCTGCAGAAACATCAGCAGGCGAAGAGCGATCAGTGGAAAATAATGACAATTTTTATGGTCAATACCTGATACATGGCTATTATTTACAATAAATAAAGTAACATACCAATTTTTTTTTTTAAATAGTAAATAATGTCCAAAAAATACAATTATTATTTTTAATGAAATATTTTACATATATTAAGGCATTATAATGTTACAGTTTAATAAAAACTATTGTTCAAAATATATATTTTTAAATGTTTACGCAAGAAGTATCTCACGCTCACTCAAGATGCAGTTATTTTTTCCAAAATGTAGTAATAATAAAAATACCATGAAATGTTGTTGAAATTTAAAAGAACTGTTTTCCCTTTTACTATAATTTTAAATGTAATTGTATTCATGTGATGGTAACGCTGGATTTTCAGCCTTCCTAATCTTCAGTGCCACATGACCATTTTGATATGTTGCTTTGGTGCTCAAAAACCTTCTTTATCATTATCAATGTTGAAAACAGCAGTGCTGCTTAAGATTTTTTGTGGAAACCATTTGATAAATAGAAAGAAGCACAGTTTATTTGACAATGTAACTGTTTTAATCTCACTTTTTGATCAGTTTATTTATCACTGCTCATGAAATGTTTGCATTTCTAAATGAATTAAAAGAAATGCATACTGACCAAATAGTTCAACTTAATAATAATATAATGTTTTTAAAACATTAAAAGGGTAAAATAACCTAGAAATAATATCAGGCAAAATGAAAATTAATTAAACTCTTAAACTACTTTAACACTTTAACCCATGACATGGGGAATCCCACAAGGTTCAATACTGGCACCTCTCCTGTTCAACCTTAAAGGTTCAGGACACACTGGAAAACTTTTCTTTTATATTAACAGATGTGTGTGTGTGTTGAGCATCAGTTAAGACAATGTTAGCACCTGTCAGCTTTAATTGTGGGGAAAACTGGATAATTTTGAGCTTTTGTCAGCTAATTTCAGCTTCCGGGTTAAAAATGATTTTTTGGGAGGGATCAAAATCGGCGACATATCGCATGACAGCAAGTGCAATGATGACGCGTCGGTTTCTCATTATTAATCATAGCGGAGTTTTCTTATCCTATGAGAAGAGCCGGCTGCTTAATTATTCATGAGACCTGCTAGACCTGCCAGAGTCAAGCCCGAGCTTTGAGACACGGACCCATGGCACACAGTATTTAGCCGTTCATGAAGGCTCATATGCGTTTGTTTCCATGATCACTGTTCATTTCTTTGCATTTTAACTTTGTAAACTATAAACTCATGCGTCTCTTCACGGTTTGTCTCATTTTGTGAGCTAACTGACAACAACAGTTGTTCGCTCACATTCTCCCCTGCTGGCTCCGCCCACTCCTGCCCGATGTTCGCGGAGCTCCACGCTCATTAATCATGCATCTTTTGAAAAAATTCTGAAGTACACTTTAACCGAAAGTGGGGGGTGTCGTGGCACTTTAACCAAATCTCCTACCACAGCTATGCTGATGACACTCAGATCTACATAGCCTTGCTGCCTAATGACAATGAGCCCCATTGACGCCCTCTGCCAATGCATTGATAAAATTAACAGTTGGATGTGGCAAAACTTTCTTTAGTTAAACAAAGAGAAAACTGAAGTTATTGCGTTTGGGAACAGAGATGAGGTTCTCAAGGTGAATGCGTACCTTGGCACTAAGGGTCAAACAACAAAAAAATAAGGTCAAGAATCTTGGTGTGATTGAGAAGTTTCAATAGTCATGTCAAAGCAGTTAGTAAATCAGCATAATATCATCTCAAAAATATTGCTAGAATTAGATGCTTTGTTTGCAGTGAGGACTTAGAGAAACTTGTTCATGCTTTTATCAGCAGCAGGGTGGATTACTGCAATGGACTCTTCTCTGGCCTTACCAAAAAGACAGTCAGACAGTTGCAGATCATCATTCTGACCAAAAGCAGAAAATCTTTGCACATCACACCTGTCTTCAGGTTTTTGCTCTGGCTCCCAGTTACATTCAGAATAGATTTTAAAGTATTATTACTTGTCTATAAACCACTAAATGGCCTAGCACCTCAATACATTACAGATATGCTCACTGAATACAAACCTAACAGATTACTCAGATCTTTAGGATTAAATAAACAAAAAATTCCAAGACTACGTTCAAAGCAGGGCGAATGCGCCTTCAGCAACTACACCCCCCACTGCTGGAATCGGCCTCCAGAAATGATCAGATGTGCTCCAACATTCAACATTCAAATCAAGACTGAAAACACATCCATTTAGCTGTGCCTTTACTGAATGAGCACTGTGCTACGTCCAACAGACTGAACTGTTATGTCTTTCATTTCTTTTTCATTCTTTTATAGCCTGTTTAAACACATTTCAATCTGAATGTTTTTGTTGTGTGCCTTTATATTTTCTTTTATGCATCTCCTTTATTCCTGTTTATGTAAAGCACTTTGAATTGCCACTGTGTATAAAAATGTGCTATTTAAATAAACTTGCCTTGTCTTGATGCATACATGAATCTAAATTGACCCAACTGACTTCTGACTTTCTAAAATTTTGCAATAAATACATTTCTTAACTTAGTATTTCAGGAATTTCTCAATTCACCTTTTTGGACTGTAAAAAAAATCCTTATTTATTTCTTACATTTTGAATAAAAATAATGGGAATGTTTATAATGCTGAGATAAACTGATTTCAAAAGATAAAACATAAGCAAAGCATGAAATTACATAAGAAATGTGTGTGGGACGTTTTAGACTTATGTTGTGCATTAGAAGTGCTTTTACATAGCTTGTGCATCAAAGGGTTAATAATAGCAGATCAGGGGAGACTACATTTAACATTAATATTCTGTAATATAATAAATATTACAATATACATGCTATGAAAAAAATGCTAACAGCTTAATTAAAAAAGACAAAACTAAAACAACCCACACATTTCAATTTAGCAAATAAAATACTGTAATGTGCACTGTTTCATAAGTCAAAAGAGAACAGTGTTATAATTTATAGTGAAAAACTGAAATTCAAAAATTTCCTGTGTAACATTTCCCAAATTTTTTTTTTTAACACACTGTATACATAGGACACATTGCGCGCGCGCGCGCGCGCACACACACACACACACACACACACACACACACACACACACACACACACACACACACACCTCAACGTAGTCCCTGAAGAGGTAGCGTCTGTATTTGTCTTTCAGTTCCTCGCTGGGCAGCAGAGGAAGAACAAAATCCTCCGGCATGCGGAGAGAGCAGTCCTGTGCCATGCAGGAGATCTCTATAGACAAACACAACCCACAGAGGATCAGATATCAAGCTCTCTCTCTCAAATCAGCAACACATAGAGTTCTGCAACCAGGCTTTATGTGTACACTCACCTACTCCCACGCCATCTTTGACAAGTACAGTGCAGTGCTGCTCCCAGCATCCCTTGCAGAAGGAGTGCTGACAGGGTAGAGAGAGGAGAGCGTCTCTCCGGACCAGCTGCAGACACACGCCACACTGCAGCGATGTCCCAGCCTTAAAAAAAAAAAAAAGACACAGCTATGAGTCAACAGAGCGAAGTGCTTCTGAGAAACAGGCAAGATTGCTTATTATGCTAATTAGACATTTACAAACAAAAATTTTACTTGCTATTAGGATATAATAATCCTAAATGGTACAATAACCATGCAAAATATATCGATATTGGTTGATAAATGCTTATTTTCAAAGGTTAAAATTTACCTGATAAGAGAGAGAGAAAGAAAATTTTAAATTAATTGCAAGCGGCACCCTCTTACTCTCCTTTTTGAAGCTAATACGGAAGTAACTGACACTTCAATTCCTCGAAATTCCGCTAGTTTCGGCTCCATAATACAGCAGATTTTGATTGACTCCAATGTTAAAATGGCCAACTTTACAGCAGAAAAAAAAGGTGTTTACAGCCTGGTACTAATATTACACTTCATGACAACTGTGAGGGGGGTGAACTTTTTATAACTCATCCGTTTTGTTTATGTTAAGCTTTATTAAGTCTTCATAATTAAGGGCGTGGCCACTTAAGTGAAAGCTAGGTCTTGCTGGTTGCTGTCACTTCACCTCAGCTGATTCCGGCTGATTACCTGCTGAATTCGGCATACACAACATATTTCCTTTGATGCGACTTTACACAATCAGTTGCTTTTTAAATATTTATATATATATATTTTTTTACAATTATCAGATGATATGGCATGCTATGTGCACTGTACTATGCTCACAAACCATTCACATGGCCTCTATTTTCCAGGTGAGTGAAATTATACACCATACTTGTATACCATCTCTTTAAATGTACTTGTTTTACATAAGATCATTTATCATTTGAAATTTTCTTTAGATCTGTAATATACTTTTGATTAGATTGATTAGCTGTAGGCTGTAGGCTATAGATTGTTATATGAAGCGTTGTCATACAGCAGTGGTCACCAAACTTGTTCCTGGAGGGCCGGTGTCCTGCAGGTTTTAGCTCCAACTCTAATCAAACACACCTGAACAAGCTAATCAAGGTCTTACTAGGTATAATTGAAACATTCAGGCAGGTGTGTTGAGGCAAGTTGGAGCTAAACCCTGCAGGGACACTGGCCCTCCAGGACCGAGATTGGTGACCCCTGTCATACAGTGTATTGCCTGGATTTCATAAATAGCCTTTTATTTACTAACAGAGTATTTCTGAAATATTTGAAGGTAATTTGCGTTTTTCTCCAGTAGAAAAACGTCATAAAACAATGTTTAACGGCTCAAAGTATTACAACAGCATTTTTAAAAGATTAAACACTTTATTCATATAGTATACAACCAAGCTAATAAAGTATTAAGTATTTTTCACAAAGAAAAGTCAGTCTAAGTAAAATGCTAGCAGCAGCCTGTAGCTCAACTCACATTCCACCTTTTTGCCCTTATTTGGTTACCCCCGGTTGGAGCGATGACTCATAAACAAAATGAAGCCGGTTAGCCACACCCACTTGTAGCTTATTTTGCACTCTTCAGAAACCTATGAGTGACATCACGGATACTACGTCCATATCTTTTACAGTCTATGGTTTCATTACCATATCAGCTTCTCTGGCTATGTCATTACTAAAAAAAAAAAAAAAAAAAAAAGACCACATTTTATAAATAACACTTTTCTATAATAATAAAAATATTCTAACAATTAAAAGTCATCAACAACAATAAATACACCAGATAAAAATACATAAAAAATAAGGATAATAAAAACACTAAAACTTTTTTATGGTTTACTTTTTACTCTTTTAAAAAGTACCATTTTAGAAGGATTCACATTTCAAAATATTTCATTTAAAGTCTCTCTAAATAAAAGTTGGTGTTTGAGAACATTAAAAATAGGGCATTCCAGAAGTATATGTTTAACAGTTTGATTTCTGTTGCAATATTGACATTTTGGGGGTTTTTCTCCTTAGAGTAAATGTTCATGTGTGAATCTTGTGTGTCCGATAAGACATCTTCTGTAAACAACCTCATCAAGTCTCGAGTTTAAAAAAAGGATTTTGTTTTTATTTCAGGTTGACTTTTAAAAAGTTTTTGAGCACTGATCCCATTCTGCTTGCCCTTTGTTAATGTAGCCTTTTATTAGTGGCTTTAAATCTGAAGGTGGGATTTTGCACTCCTTTATTTTCCTGTTTTAGCAGCTTTGTCAGCTTGTTCATTTCCAAAAAGCCTAACATGTCCTGGGGCCTCATGTACGAAGACTTGCGTGGAAATCATACTAAAACATTGCGTACGAACAAAACTGTAAATGTGCGTACGCAGAAAAAAATTCAGATGTATGAAACACTGCGTACGCCGAATCTCACACATATTCTTTTGTACATCTGAATGAACGTGAAACTGAGCGCAACATGCACGAGCACAAAACTCCTCCCTGCCTCCTCCCCCGTATGAATATGCTAATGACTATGCTAATGGCAAAACCCAACGAAAAAGCAATGGCAAAAGCAAGCAAAAAGAGAAATTTTGAACAGAATGTGAATTGGAGGTGCTGCTTTCGTAGGTAGACCGGAGAAAAGCGGTGTTATTTGCAAGTTTGTTCTCCAGAATTAACAACAAAAGAAAAAAATAGAGTCGGAGAGTTTAGCTGATGCGGTTAACACAGTTGGGTCTGAACATCTTTAAAAAAAAAGAAATAGTGTGGTTTATATCTGTAAAATTTTGCAGGATGCTCAACAGTCTCAGTGGCGCTACTCGTAAGACGCATGTGATCATAAATTGATACGTTCGAGCATGAACTCGGCTCGAATCCAGCGTCTGATTAACTCTTTCTTGTTTTTTCCCCCGCTACATATCAGATTTTGCCAACTATTTATCACGAGAAAGACAAGTAGGAATCATCAATAAGTTCATATCAATAAGCATCATATTTTATTTGCACATTTATTGAATGGAAATGTTTCTGATTCACGCAAGCAAATTCATCTTCAGATAGTGTCTTTATAGCAATGTGCGTGCAGTAGATAGCTCAGATTACATTGGGAAAACAGGCGACTGCTGCAAATTGTGCTTTAATGTTTAGCTGGTCAAATGTATGGTATGGAAACCTTATATACCTGCTGAACCCGTCTCATACAGCTGCCATTGCAAGCAGGGCCGGAGTGGGACTCCTTTTCAGCCCTGGAGTTTCAAGCCTTAGACCGGCCCACCTCAGTTCACGACTGACTATATTAAAATAAGGTCATTTCTAAATCAGTTTCTAATGACACTATCACGTATTTTTTTGAGAAAACAGCTGCTTTAGAACTTCAAATGTTCAACAACCCTAACAGTATTATATGTCTTAACAATAAAAATGAAAAAAAAAAAAAAAACCTACTCAGACGAGGATCAAACCCGGGTCTGCAATGTCATTGCCTAACGCGCTAACCACTGGACCACAACAGATGTGTATTAAAAGTGGCTCGTCTTAGTTACTTAGTAGTATCATCATTAACCAGGCTGCGAGAAAATAGATAAAAAGAGCAGAGCTTTGGTAAAATAATTAATAAGAAGACTGTGGTCAAGTAAAAAAATAATTAATGTAAAAAGTGTGACTGCTGAGAGCAACAGATTCTGGAGCTAGGGACAACGGCCCTCTCGGCCAAAAAACGCACCGGCCCACCGGGAATTCTCCCGGTCCTCCCGATTAGCCAATCCGGGCCTGATTGCAAGGCTCAAAGACACTTTGTAGAGAGGAATTTAACACAACTGCCTCTAGGAGTCGCCAATGGAAATAAAACAGACACGCACAAAAAATGTGCGAACGCCAGCCATGAAGCTGCCATGAAGCTGCCATGAAGCTGCGCACATTCCCACGTTCAGTTCATTGTTAGTAAATCCAAACGTGAGCGATTCTGAGCGTGAAACCTGGCGTACACACAGTTTTTGTGCGTACTGAGCGTTGATACATGAGGCCCCTGGGATCCAGCAGAAAACTAGATAATAAAATCTTCTCTGTAGTTCATTTACTTTGATAAAAACGTCAATGATAATAAGACGCTCCAGTTAAAATTAAGAGTGATTGAAATGATTAAATGACTAAAAAAAATGAAATGATTAAATGATGATTGATGATTAAAAAAAAATTTGAGTGATGATTGGTCATTTACATATTTACATGCTAGGGCTGAGTAATTTGGCCTAAAATTTAAATCTCGATTCATTGAACATTTTAACTCGATTACGATTAATAAACGGTTATTTTATTTTTTGCCCTCAAAGTTCACCGACAGATTTTGTACAATAAATATGCTCACATATTACAAGTGAGAGATTTTTAAATAAAGGGTGAATTAAATAATTAAAAATGTAAAATATTTAAATTAAAATAATTCAGAATTAATAATTTTCAGGGACTGATGACTGAAAATAATTGACGAAACACACACACTATCTATTATCTGTACATGTGTGCTTGACAAAAGTATGATATTAAAATAATATAAGAAGTATAAATCAGCCTTAACAGAGCGAGGTCACGTGACTTCACAAACGGTGGAGAAAGTAACTGAAAAAATTGACCAGGAAAAATTATAGGATCTGTAATAATTATTGGTTCTGAACTTCGATTACTTTTCGATCAACTGCTCAGCCCTACCACATGGTCAACAAGATTTGACTGTGATTGGCAGTTAAGGTCATCGGTTCACCATTATTCTCAAAGAGCAAGCACAGACACACGGATACAGGGGCGCTCAAATGTTATCAGGAAATGGACGGTTTTTTACAGATTAGTACTGAACTCTATACTTTTGAATTTCGAAATTTCGAAATGGACAGAACGAAAATCAGGTGGAAAAAAACTGCAGGTCAAAGAAGGCAAGGCAAAGAGGTCCAAAACACAGCCATTGATTGCATAATATCCACAGACCAATTGAAGCTCAAAGGCTTTTAGGAGCAAAAAACAAGGAACTGCCCCCAAAAATTATGCTTAAACTTAGTTTCAGATTCATTTTGATCAAAAGTTTGTAATTTCAGTTTGTTTTTTTAATTTTATTTGAAATATATTAGGGCCTTAAGTCTGTTTATTAGGGGTGGTCAGCATTTTATGCTAGTTTGACAGTTGTGTGCTTGTTTTACATTATTGCAATTCTATAAAACATGTGTTGTTAAACAACACATCATAACTTTGATGCTTTTTTTCTCATTCATTGACAAATATTGTGATATATAGTGGACGGTTGTCTTGTGATATATCGCAAAAAACACTGACATAGTGATATATCAATATCGAGGGCAAAATATTGTGATAATATTGTAAGAGTTAACCTGCGATTCCCATACCTACTGTTTATAAAGCACTTTTTTTATAGCATTTTTTTAGTACGAAACATAAAAAACTATTTCAATCTTGCTTTCAATAACAATTACCTTCCAATTTCAACTGTAATGTAGCTTTTTTTTATTTGGCACCGTTTCGATTTTTGCTTGTCGATGTCTGACCTCAATTGACTCAACGAAATAAACCAGAGAAGATTTTCATGTAAAAGAAAACAAGACCTCAGAGCCAGACGACACCAGCCGAATCCATTGGCAAGCTATGTCTAACTCCTCAAACAAACTCCAAACGAACATCATTTTGACCTGATCTGATTTTGTCCGAAATGATGTCTTTTGTCACTTTGTTCTTCAAATTAGCGTGAAGTGTACCAAGGTTTTTATGCCACAGTTGAAGTGAATTGAGGCACAGCGAATGTCTCGCACATCACAAAATTGTTTCAACTTGAAGCGATATTTCATGTCCATGACTGATACTTGGCAAGGAGCGTTGTAAGAAACAGGAGGTAATACAGTCACCAGATCAACACTACTAAATAAATCGCTTTATCTGTACCCTGCACTATTTATCAAATAGCTGGATTTTACAATGTTCACACTTTTTTGTAGCATCAACATTGTAGTTTAGAAGTAAGAGACTTTTGGAATTCAAGTTTAAAAGGGTTTCAAAATAAGATAAAAAAAAAATTTAAAACCCAAAACATTTTTATGTTATTTAAAAAAAAAAGACAGAGCATATAAAGACAGTTCTCAAGTCAAGTCTGAGGAAATGACAGATACTCACAGTGAGAGATCTGCAGGTGGTTGTGGGCTGAGCATAGGCTTCACAGAGCAACTGAGAAGAGTTGGACTTATACCTTTAAACACAAAAAATTATATTATCAAATGAACACCATTTTTAGGGTGAAATGTACATAATTGTAGTAATTATTGTAGTCTTTTCACTATTTTGCAAACTACTACTGAAAAGTTTGGAGACCATATGTTTTATGTTTTCTAAAAGAAGCCTCTTATGTCCACCAAGGAAGCATCTGATCAAAAATAAATAACGCACAAAATAATCATCAAAATATAAAAATTTTAAATAATTATTAGCCTTTTGATTTGATAAATATATCATAAAAGGACATAAATTAATTAATCAAATGAATTATTTTATCCTAAAATGTTGATTTGTTGCTCATCATCAATAATAAAAACACTATTTCAACTTGTCGCGCTATTGGGAAAGTCCTGCACTTCATTCTTGTTGGCCTCAGCTGGCTCCTGATATTTTATTTTTGTTGGGTAAATATGTAGAACAGACTCCAGTATGCTTTTCCTAAATGATTTTTCTTACATGTCACTCTCAAGGCAACAAAAGAACTTACCATTAGCTGCCTTCACAGCTGCTAAGAAAATGTTGGTCTGCTGTTGGATCTCTGCTCATATAATGAGCAGACATCAATGGGACCTATCTTTGCTGGACACTATTTGTATGGAACTTTCAACAGCGCGCATACATGGAGCTTATTCAAAAACTGTTAAGTACTGGATTAAAGTTTTTGAAATCGTCAAATGTTTTGTTTTTACTTTCTAATGTACAGCTTTTCTGTTTACATGTACTTTATGTATGTCATGATGTAATAGTTATTTGTTTGTACTTTCTTAACTTCTACTCATTATTTGGTTTAACATTATTACAATTATTAGAATTTCTACAGCAATCTTTTAACTTCTGTTATTAGAAAACAAGTCTACCTGGGTGGGGGTGGGGATTCGGGGTTGTTTTATGATACAGTCATCTACTGTATGCTTTCTACATTAAACAAAAACTGAAGAAATAAAAACTAATGTTTACAATAAAAATAATAAAAACAGTTTTGGTGCTACTTTTATATTTTTGTGGATTTAGTGTAACATTATAAATGTTTTACTATCATGTTTGATCAATCCAATACATCTTTGCTAAATCAAATAATTTAATTACTTTAATATTTTACTGATTTTTTTAAATATCAATTAATCAGTGCAAGGTATTTTAGTACAGCACATCCCACCATGATCTCCATCTGGCCAATCACATAAACAATCAATTAAAAGTGTGTGTGTGTGTGTGTGTGTGTGTGTGTGTGTGTGTGTGTGTGCGCGTTTTGTTATAATTTACCTTTCGAGTATTTGCACCACTTGCCAGTGAAAATGTACAAGCACCAGTTTGGCTACAGCTGGTGACACCTGAAGAGAAAAGAAAACAGCTTTTGCTATGACAGCCTAAACTCGACGAACAGCCTAAACATTTTATAGTTTAAAAAGACGCATAATCATCCAGCCAAACATACTCTCTCACCTTCAGGGCACTGGCTACATTGTTGACCTGTTCAGTCAGTACCCTCTGACTCTCCCTGTATGTCAAGCAGTTGAACTGGTACTTTTCGGGGTCGAACGGCTCTTCTACTGCCACGTCCTCTTCAAGGTTGTCGTAATAATGAGGGATGTCTCCCTCGCCGATGTCTTCATCGTCATCTTCGAATTCCTCGTTGCTGTCTGAGGCTTGGCTACTCATATCCACAGACATAGTCCTCTGGGCCAGACCTTTTCCCTGACTGACACCCTGCTCTCCTCCTATCGGCAGCTTCTGAGCCGCTTCTCTCCACCCCCGACTGGACCACCAATCCCAGGGGGCCCTTTAGCTTTTAGCAGCACCGAAAAAAGCAGAAGAAATCACACTCCCCGTCACTCATGAGGAACTGGAGCGAGGGATGAGCTCAGACAGAGAAAAAAAAATACTGAAAGAGAGAAGTTAAACACATTATGCACCGTCAGACGATAGATAAAATGATCAACTTTAGCCAAAAGTAGTTTTGAACAAAAAATGTATTTTGTAACAAGCCGATTGTTCAATTTTCTATTTTGCAATTATGTCAAAGAGAACTATAATTGCCATTTTAAAAGATTGCTAATTCACTTTTATACACATTCATCTAAAATCGGAAAATATATACATTTTTGTATAATAATATACATCGCAGAATCACTTTATTTCTTAATAGTGCCTGAAGAGGTTCATTCAAAGCTCTCGTCCTTGATATTATTGACGACTCATCTCAGAAGCGTGTTTCTTTTCAGAGACAATAACTCTGTTTGTTGTGCACTTTGATCTTTGAAGCTTTACAGACATTTTACATTCAAAAACCGTCATATTCTTTCATGTAGTGGTGTGTAATATCTGAAAAAGCATAATGGGACACTTAAGATTTTATTCTTTCTAATCAGATAGTCTGACATCATCTTGAAGGGGTTTATTTTGGAAAAAAAGGACTGGCTGACTACACTTACATCAAGGCAACATAATAAATAAATTCATGGGCATAAAAAATTGAAGTTGAAATGATAACATTTTGTGAAGAAAGAGATGACAGAATGTCTAAGATTACTATATATTAATAATGTAATAAATATGTTATTATTTGTTATTATTATTTTTTTCTATCTACATAAAATTGAGGACATGAAAAATCAGTTGGTATAACTGGTATAATATCTTGCTTACCAATTGGCCATTAGCCGGTATAAAATTCTGGCGGTATGATAACCTTGGATAGAAATATCACGGTTTCAAGGCAGTTTCCTCACTGCTCTAACATTTATTCTTTTTAAATGTCTGGGTAAAAACTAAAACTTTTTTTCCCTTTGAAAAGATATATATATATATATATATATATATATATATATATATATATATATATATATATATATATATATATATATATATATATATATATATTTTTTTTTTTTTTTTTTTTTTAAAGATTAAAAATACTTTGAAGCAGTAAACATGTCAGGCTAAATAAATCAAATGAATCATTGACTTTTGCTGTCCTCATTAGTTTCAAAAACACTGATTTCTTTACTATTTAAAACTGCATCTTTGGATATTTGTTCTAAAAAAAAAAAAATGTAAATAAAAACAAAAAACTTACACATACCTTAGAAAGAGTATTAAAGTAAATTTTGGCAGTTTTGAAACCTTGACTTTTCCAAACCGTGGTATACCTTGAAAACGATTATCGTGCCATGCCTATTACCAATTCATTTATTTTGAAATATCTGGCGCCATCAGAATCTAGTATTCCACAGAGTTGCTTAAGAAAACGCAATGGTGCACACCCACTTTTTCCTGCCCACTTTTTCCTGCCCTAAATTCAGAAGTATTTTGTTTTATTTTTTTACAGGAACTCAAAAATGACATTGACGTCTCTTGTTCTTTCTGTGAGAATTCTTCTGAGTCTGTTGCTCACTTGTTTTGGAAATGTCCCTTTGATAAATCATTCTGGTCTGATGTGAATTCTCTAATTGTCCAAAATGTTTGTGGTAATCTTTCTTTAAACTATAGACATGCTATTTTGGGGTTTTAAACTAAAGAAAAACAATCCCTTAATTAAAGTTTTTGTAAACCCTCATATGTTTTATTGGAAATGTTTTATACATAAATGTAGGCATACTCAACGTAAACAAATGTTTTTATTTTTAAACAAGAATTGGAACTGTACTTGAAAACCATTACAGTCTCATAACAAGAAAGCAGTTTAAACTTATAAAACGTGTGCTTTATTTAATACGCTGCATTAACTTGTTTTTTCATTTGCCCTCTCATTTATTGTCTATTGTTTCTTCTTTTTCTTTTCTCGTTGTCTTTCTTTTGCTTCACCATTATTATATTTCTTTAAAATCCTCAAATTTCTCTTGTTGCAAAAAGGAATATTTGTATTGTTTGCACTATACTTCAATCTGTTGCAATTGCAATAAAAAGTATTTTTTTTCGATGGCTATTTTGGTCTGTGCTAAAGAACTATAAGCCACGAATCAAATCAATAAGCTACAACAATATTAAAACGTTGACACACACACAAAATAACAATCAAAATAAAAAAAAATAAAAAAAACTTGAAAATTTAACAAAAGGTTTGGTTAAATCCGAGAAAGAACAACAATCAGATGTTGTTATACTTGTTGCACATTACTGATTGGTCAATTTCTCAGGAGAATTATGGGTAATGTGATTTCCACCAGTGAGTTCAAAACTATTTTTCAAAAGTATGTTAAAATAACACAGACTAACAGCCTCAAAATAAGCATGTAGCCTAAAGTCATTCTCAAAGTAGATCAGTCTTTTTACAAGGCTGTCCCATGTGAAAAATTAGATTTAAGAGAATAGTTGTGTGCTAACTTTGGATTGGTGATTTTCAAGAACTCAGTATTCATGGCCAAAGTGGCCTTGCTGCTGTACTCAGATTCAAGGACACTCACTGAGCTGAAACCACTGGTCAAGGAGCTGCTTCATTATTTACAGATCAACACACCTTGGGAAACTCTCTGAAGGTTGCGCTTATATGTTTGTCTCGGTATTACCAGCGGTCAAGCATCCCTTTGAGCGCAAGACAATCATAACCTCACATGCAGAGCGGCTTAGCGCTTCGTTTTACCGGATTACACGGTGTACTGACAGACAGTCCAACCGGACAGCGGGAGCAGAGGGAAGCCGCGTGACTGATGATCTCAGGGATCAGATCTCTGATATGATGACAGTCACCAATTTGATCCGAACTCGCACTTTTAATTCAACGGGTCTGGTATCATCCGGACACCACAGTCATGAGACGACCTGGCCCGGTATCACCCGCTCGTGCACCGTCAGGTCCCTCACATTCCACCCGGGGCTATAAATAGCGCGCGACCCGGGGTGGCATGCATAATATCAAGCTCAGCTGGATCACGGTTTAAGTGCGTAGTGGCTGAGCAAAGACTGCGAACTCACGCTGCTGAAAGTACAGCCTGTGCTTTGTTTACTCCATATGACTCGGGCCGCACCAGCTGTTGCTCCTCCAGATCAGCGCATAAATATACAGCAGCGCGATCGATGTGCAAAGTCATCCTTTCTCCCTCTTTATCATTTCAGAGTTAGAATTTAAGTGCACACATCCCGCAGGTTAAATCGCATGTTGGATAGTTAAACTCGGTGAAGTAAACACAGGAAATGTTTAATGTCGCTTTAAGGGCTTTATTCGCAATCATCCGCCTGCGCGCACTCCAGCTCGGGGATTCGTATGTAAACAAGGCCGCTCGATTAAGCCGCAGCTATGAACCCGTAAAGCCCCCCCGTCCCACCCGATGGTACTCACCTGCCGGACCGCGTCGGGCCGCCACTCGACGCAGGGTGAACACAGATATTTGGACAGAGATCCGATCCGTTCGTTTAGATGAGTCGCAGCAGAGCTGAAGATCGGAAGTACTGGGGGATTCTAGAGCAGCGTCACTTCCGAGTCCCGAGCGAGGCTGTTTTCCACTGCGAGCAGATTTGCGTTCCTGAGGAGGGGCCACACAGACACACACCTACTCAAAACTGACATACATACTTGCAGTCAAACACACACGCGCTCATTCAAATGTAGGTCAGCAAAACAAGAACCTGATTTACAGCGTGCAACGCGCTTTGTAACTTCGGTACAAAGAACAAAAAAGGCAAAGGCAGCCTTGGTACAAGCCCGTACTTGACACTGTTTAAGTTAATATCAGTCGTGTATTAATATTGACATAAAAGTGTATATGTGGCATGAATGCATGCGTTTTATTTCTGTAGTTCACAACAAAACTACCTTGAGATAAAAATAGAGAAGTAGACTATAGGCAGAAGATCAAAGCATAACATTTGACCATAATAATGGCATTATCCATTTGGAAAGGGAAAGATCTCAAGAATTAGTTTAAATTAATATATATATATATATATATATATATATATATATATATATATATATATATATATATATATATATATATATATGAGAAAAGCTGCCAACTAGCAGCCAGCAGGAATCAAGTGTAATTGTTGCTGCCAAATATAGAGACTACAGCTTTATGCCATGTGCTTTGGAGCTTCACCAAACATTAGAAAACCACAGTAGATCATATGCATTTAGCCCAGATATAACACAATCTGTTTAACTAAGACAATCCTCATAGAGTGGTATTACATGCTGCTTTGCTAAAGCTATCTGACATTTGAGAAAAATGCACAATTCATTTATATGTGTAGATTTTTAAAACTGTTCAATTTGAAACGCACCAATACAATGTGCAAAAGCTACCGGCCCTTACAGACAACCACAAGGTTTATATGTGCAATCACATGATCTCTTGTTCCACCGATCAAAATCTGCCCAAAGAACACTTTCATGTATACTAATTTGCACACTAAAAATAATTTTTCTTGAATATTATTTATTGTATACACTGCCTGACAAAAGTCTTGTCATAAATCCTAGGCTAGTAGTATAGGCAACAAATAATAACTTGACTTCTAGTTGATCATTTGGAAAAGTGGCAGAAGGTATATATGATGAATCATCTGTTGAACTGCTTCTCAATCGTCACAAATACTGCAGAAGACCTGTTGGATACCACATGGACCCAAGATTCATATAGAAATCAGTCAAGTTCAGAGAAGGAAAAATCATGGTTTGGGGTAGATTCAGTATGGGGGCGTGCAAGAGATCTGCACAGTAGATGAGGTATCAAGCCTGAGGTATCAAGACATTTGTGCTGCCCATAACATTACAAACCACAGGAGAGGGCAAATTCTACAGCAGGATAGCGCTCCTTGTCATACTTCAGCCTCTATATCAAAGTTCCTGAAAACAAAGAAGGTCAAGGTGCTGCAGGACTGGCCAGCCCAGTCACCAGATATGAACATTATTGAGCATGTCTGGGGTAAGACAGGAGTCATTAAAGATAAAATCAAAGAATCTTGATAAACTCTGGAGTCCTGCAAGAACGCTTTCTTTGCCATACCAGGTGACTTTATCAATAAGTTATTTGAGTCATTGCAAGAATGTGTGGATGCAGTCCTCAAGGCTCATGGGAGTCATACACAATATTAATTCTGTTTCCACTGCACCATGACTTTATTTTCTGTACTGTACATTGTTTCTGTTAAATGACAAGGCTTTTGTTTAAGCAAAGTCAGACCTCACTGCTCTAATTAAATAATTAAAAATCAAGACATTATCATATTTTATTTTAGTAAAATAAGCGTAATCTAGAGGCCTTTCCTGTCATATAAGCCATGTCTGATATCAAATGATCAACTAGAAGTCAAGTTATTAATTGTTGTTCTTGGATAGGCGACAACACTTTTGTCAAGTAGTGTACTTGGGCACTCTGAAGTGGTATTAGTGATGGTGTGGATTTACTATGATTAAGGGCACAGAGCTTTGGCTTTACTAGATCTGGGATAGTCGAGCTCACTTCCTTCCATTTGCATGTACTTTTAAGTGGACAATACCACAAGTTCGGGTATTAATACCATCCTAAAATGTCTATAAGAATCTATTGTATGGTGCAGAGTAGACATTTCTATATTTGGAGAAGAATGGATTTAACAAACAAATAAACTATGCATTCCATGTCTAATAATTTTCAATTTCTGCAAATAGTCTATAGTATGATAGTAAGCTATTATGTGGTAAGCCAAACTTCCTGTTTCAACAGAAAATACATTGATGCAGGGAAGTAAAGTGCTTGTCTGGCCATTTTAAGCGATCTTTAATAATGAACCAACAGTTATTTTCAATACTATTCCATATGGACATTTTTTTAATGATAAATAAAATAGTTAAATGTAATGTAATGTGTATTTATATAGCGGATTTATTGTGTATGGCCATACACCCAAAGCGCTTCACAATCATGAGGGGGAGGTCTCTCCACACCACCACCAGTGTGCAGCATCCACTTGGATGATGCGACGGCTGCCACAGGACAACAGCGCCAGTGCGCTCCACACACCAGCTATTCAGCCAATTTGGTGGAAGGGGATGATTGGGAGGCCATGATTGTAAGGGCCGATAGAGGGACTTTGGCCTGGACACCGGGGTTACACCCCTGCTCTTTCACGAGAAGTGCCATGGGATTTTTAATGACCACAGAGAGTCAGGACCTCAGTTTAACGTCTCATCCGAAAGACGGCGCCCACTGACAGTTTTAGTGTCCCCTTCACTTTTACTGGGGCTTTAGGACTCACACAGACCACAGGTTGAGCGCCCCCTGCTGGCCTCACTAACACCACTTCCAACAGCAACCTAGTGTTCCCTAGTGGCCTCCCATCCAGGTACTAACCAGGCTCAGCCCTGCTTAGCTTCAGTGAGTAACCGGTCTTGGGCTGCAGGGTGACATGGCTGTGGCAAAAATATGCAAAAATATGAAATATGTACTTATCGATATAACCTGTTAGAAAGATGCAAATGAAATGTATTTTTCTTGTTAATAGCCAAAAGCACAATTCTGTCATTATAATGAAGGAAAGACACATTGTCCAGATCTGTTTAGAACTAATAATTCAGTGCTGTGCTTTACACAAAAGCAACTGCAAAACTAATGAATGGAAGTCTAATTCACACATAAAAAAGCTGCAACATAACATTTGTTTATTTGCATGTTTTTTCCCAGCAGCATGTTCTATAAAAATATATGTTCTGATGAATAAATCCAGTGAGCGGCAGATCTGTGGGCGCAAATGCCTTGTTGATGCCAGAGGTCAGAGGAGAATGGCCAGACTGTTTGAAGCTAACAGAAAGGCAACAGTAACTCAAATAACCACTCGTTACAACAGAGATACACAGAAGAGCATCTCTGCACATACATTACATCAAACCTTAAGGCAGATCAGCCACACAAGGTGCCACTCCTGTCAGCTAAGAATAGGAAACTGAGGCTACAATTCGCACAGGCTCACCAAAATTGGACAATAGAAGATTGGGAAAACGTTGCCTGGTCTGATGGGTCTCAATTTCTGCTGCAACATTCGGATGGTAGGGTCAAAATTTGGAATGAACAACATGAAATCATGGATCCATTTACAAAGTGCATGCATGGAAATCTAATTCACACACAAAAAAGCTGCAACAAAACATTTGTTTATTTTTTTTCGCCCCAGCAGCATGTTATATAAAAATATGTATTCTGATGCATAAACAAACGCAGAGTATGAAAAGATGACTAAGTATACATTTTTAACACCTACAAAATCCTCTGCATACAGCAGTTATAAAAGGTTGGTGACGGTTACAGTGAGAAACAAGCTTTTGAATGCAGAAAAAAACATTTAGAATTACAGTAAAGTGATTAAAACCTAATTTAGTCAGACTTTTTCAAAAGGGAAGAGATGTTTCTCCTCTCCGCGTTTCTCTCGGTTAGATACACGTCTTACGATCTTTTCCTCTGCTTCCTCTTTTCGGTTCTGTGGCCATGAGGCAGTCAGAGAGGGTGGAGCTTGAGCGCTCTGAGCCCCGCCCTCTTTCTCCTCATCAGAGGACAGTCCTTCAGCCCCGCCTTCTTTTCCTTGCTTAAGCCCCGTCCCTGATGCCAGGCCCTGCTGCCCATAGCGACGCTTCAGCCTCTCTTTTATTAGCAGGCCTTTAACCAGCAGAGTCCAGTTGGTCACAGCACGCTTCTCTCGCTTCTGCTCAAACACCACAACAGGCAAGTTACAACATTTTCACTGCAGTTCTACTTCACAGGTAAAAGTTATTTTATCATTATTATTTTTTTTTAAATACAATCTTTTTAGATTTGAACTACATGAAATCAACACACCTCCTGTTCTTTCTTCTGCTGAATTTCTTGCTCGTTTTCCCAGGCTGCTTTCAGGATTTCTTCGTGTTCTTCACAGACGATATAGCCGTCATTTCTGAAACACATCGGTCAATCCAATTACAGATCATAAAATTAAAATGACGTCCCGCAATTTTCCATTCAGAAAAAAAGCAACAACTTTTAGAGCAAATTGAAGGGGAACAACACATGCTGTTTGATACTCTTGGTTCTTCTGCTCTTGATAAAAAAATAAAAAATAAATAAATAAATTCGTACATTTAGACCTTGTTGTTAAAAAGAAACATAAAAAAAGACAGAGAAGTAATTTTTTTAGTGAATAGATAATACTAATAAAATACTATTAAAAAGGTTTTTTTTAAATAATGGGTTAAAGGTAATTAATATGGGGAGACATAAATATCGTTTCCTCAATTATCTTAACAGATTTACACTGAAATCTAATGATTTCTTTAGATATTTATGTTGGCTTGGGAAAGCCAACATACTGTTATACTATCCTGTCCTTTAACCAAACATATCTCCTCCTAGGCCGTTCATGCTACAAGGCCCAAATTTGGTCAAAATGTGCCTTCAGCATTCAAGATTGTAGCTTTATCTCCTCATACCAATCAGA